GGCGTGGTTGATGGTGCCGTCGGCGCTTTAGTTCAATTCTGCACATTTTGGTACTTTTCGCTCCAAATTCGCTCTTTTTTGCATTTTTTTGCTCCAATGACCCTAATTCATAATTCCTGCAACAAAACATAAAAAATACCTTTCTTTAAAGTGTAATATCATCAAAAACAGTATAAAATAGGTATGAAAATCTCAACATATTTTCCTCTGGTCACATATGCCTTCCATTTCTTTTCTAATGCATGTATACATGCTTGTTGGTTTTAATATAAAAAAAAAAGAATATTTCTCTAACTTTATTTTTGAGTGTTGAACTTGCAATGAAACCTGCAATGTTCAATCGTTTTAATGGCAAATGCATATAGACGTTGCACCATTTATCAATGTATCTAGCCCACAACAGTTGTTCTCCGCACAAGCCAACTTTCAATCTAAACATCTATTGCATGAAAGTAAAATTAGCACATATATTTTTCGGAATTGCCCAAAGTATACTAACCATCCAAAATGTCCATATGACCAAAAGTCTGATACTGTTACCTCCCAATTGATCCAAAGTGCTTGACGAGACGCTACACCATTCTGCCTTGCCCAAGCTGTAGGGTCGTAAGACCCATACTTAAAAGCTCATTCCAAATTCAGGGAAATAACTTAAGCCGGCGTGATTGGGCCCAACAAACAAAAGATAAACATACGGCCTCCTTGCCTATAAGGCAAGATGGTAAGACCTTTTGTGTCGGCTCTAATATTAGAGTCATAACTCCTATATTCAGGTATGCTGAAAACCCATGTTGTAAGTCTCATCCTTTTGGTCAACTTGTAAATAGAGTAACAAGCCTCAATATGTTATTTCAAATTTTAAATAAAAAATTAGGGTGTAATCAATTATGAGGCTAAAATTGGGCCTAAGAACCATATTTAGCTTAGAGTGCCTTCCCTGGAAGGTTAATTAATAATGGAGTATTATGCTCGTAGGATTTTTTGATCTTAGATCTAAGTAAACTTTGGTCCTAATATCAAAGGAAATATAGTTAAATCAAATTTAATCTACGTCATGGAAGTGAATTAATTTAAAGAAGGTATTGGTATTTTTCTTTAGCAATTTTTGCAGCATCTCGACCAATCCAAATTTGAATATTCAGAAAGGGGTGTTTCATTGCTGGGCTATGACATTAGGTGTGCCATGTTGGTTATATGAAATTTGGCTATGTTATAGCATAGGATTTTAGCTGGCATGCTTCAGTTTATCATCTTAAATCTGATAGGTTCAACTCAATACCCGGTTTATCATGAGCATGAACTCTATGGATCATGGTTCTAATTATCCCTTTTTATGAGTGTGCCTATTGCGTTGCCTTGCTTGTGAATGTACATTGTTATTGGATGCTATAGTGTTAATTCTGGAACTTTCTATTTTTTGACAACGTGCCTCTCTTCTTCTTTCATATGCATATTTGTCTTCTTTGATGATACATGAAGTACACGTACTTCTGTAGGTTGCCATATCTGACCATTCATTCATGTATAACGCTGTTGGAAATACCTTTTTTTTTTATCTTTGAAATCTGTTTTCCTTTGGACACATTTTGGTCGCTTCTAAGATGACTTGGTCATTTGCTCACATATATTTGTCCTAGATGAATTGATCCTAAGTTTGTTAGACTTCATGTTCTGATACATTTTAGCGGTATTAACATACAACCCAATTTTTATGTATTTGCACATCTAACTCCTATACTTAACTTTTTACATTTATACCACACAAATCTTTTATTTCACATCAAATATATTTTCATTTTAATTTTTACAAAGTGAAATTCACCTTTTCAGCATACATAAGGTGTATGTAAAAATTGAAGTTTAGGTGTTAGATATGTAAATACATAGGAATTGACTGGTATGTATGTAAATACATAGGCTCTCTGTTTTAGGCACATCTTGTCCCTATTTTTCAAGATTTGTTTGTACTATTTTTTTATGGTTATAGTTGGTACAATTGCTTCATTTTTAATGATGTCATTGATCGTGATAAGCCATCTTTGATGATTTTCCTATGAAATCCTGACATATTACACCTTGCTCAACATCCCTTTTGATCAAGTTGAAATAATGTGACACAATTCCTGTCACTATGGTTTCAAAAGTTCCTTTGAAAGTATCTATATTTTATTCTCATTCAGGATTCGAGATTGTTGGGAGAGATACATGTTGCTGTGTTGAAGTACATTATTAGAGATCTCGAGGATTCCAAAAATACTCATGCGTGTGCACCATGCTTTAGCGAAGATAAGTTTGATAACCCAGAAAGTACAAATTCGAAAATTGTTGATGGGGTCTGTTACTTAAAACATGTCAAGTGATTCATAATATTTTGCCTACACAATTTAAGTGTGTAATCGTACATATTGTATTCATGTTTCCTTGCAACAGGTCCATGAATGGGGTTTTGATATACACTTCTGGAAGAACAAATTAAATTTTTTAACATGGCCTGAAATATTACGCCAGCTTGCTCTATCAGCTGGATTTGGAACTAAATTGAAGGCCAGCTATCCAAATTGCTATGGTGACAAGGTTTTTTTGTTATATCTCTAAATTTTCTGTGCTCAATGTTTTTGTATCCTTGAAACTGCTGCCTTGTACTTGGATTGTAGGCATTTTGTGAATATGTAGCTATTTTTGCCTCTTTTTTGTTGTTACTGCAGTCTTTTGTTTAAGACCACAATAATTTGCCATACTAACTTTTCCCTTTCAATTATTTCACTTTTGTATGCGTGTAAAATTTTTGTAAGGGAACTTAGGGATATGATTTTCTTAAAACACTTCATAGATTGGCATTTTTTTGAAGAATGTAGTAAAAGGATGTGAATTTTGAATAACTTTCTTCTCAATGAATACATAGATAATTCACCTATAAATAGGCGTGTACAAGAGATAAAATGAGGAAAGAAATCTTCCTACAATTAAGTAATTCCTATAATTATGGAATAAACATAAATACCTATAATTAAGAATTACTCTTTTTATACTATGACTAAATATAGCAAGTACTAAATAGAATTAAAGTAAATAATAATGAGCGTAATTCCACA